GCGCAAAGCGTGTAAAAAATAGTCTGTCCTCGGTTGCAACACTCCCTACTGAGTTCCAAACTGCCTCTGGAAGCAAGTCAGCACAATAACTGTTCTTCGGGAACTTCATGAAATGGGTTTCCATGGGCAAGTAGCCACACACAAGCCTATGATCACCATGTGCAATGCCAAGCGTCGGCTGGACTGGTGTAAAAATCCCCGCCATTGGACTCTGGAGCAGTGGAAATGCATTCTCTGGAGTGATGAATCACGCTTCACCATCTGGCTGTCCGGCGGACTAATCTGGGTTTGGCGGATGCCAGGAGAACTCTACTTGCCCCAATGCATAGTGCCAACTGTAAAGTTTGGTGGAGGGGGAATAATGGTCTGGGGCTGTTTTTCATGGTTCAGGCTAGGCCCCTTAGTTCCAGTGAAGGGAAATCTTAACACTACAGCATACAATGACATTCTAGACTATTCTGTGCTTCCAACTTTGTGGCAACAGTTTCGGGGAGGCCCTTTCCTGTATCAGGAAATGGTTAGTCGAGATCAGTTTGGAAGAACTTGACTGGCCTGCACAGAGCCCTGACCTCAACCCCATCGAACACCTTTGGGATGAATTGGAATGCCGACTGCGAGCCAGGCCTAATCGCCCAACATCAGTCCCCGACCTCACTAATGCTCTTGTGGCTGAGTGGAAGCAAGTCCCCGCAGCAATGTTCCAACATCTAGTGGAAAGCCTTCTCAGAAGAGTGGAGCCTGTTATAGCAGCAAAGGGGAGACCAACTCCATATTAATGCCCATGATTCTGGAATGAGATGTTCGACAAGCAGGTGTCCACATACTTTTGATCATGTAGTGTAATAGAACAGCAGTGTTGACTGTGTGTGTGTGTGTGTGTGTGTGTGTGTGTGTGTGTGTGTGTTTGTGTGTGTGTGTGTGTGTGTGTGTGTGTGTGTGTGTGTGAGTTCTGAGTGTATGTGTGTGCTTGTGTGTGTGTGTGTGTGTGTGTGTGTGTGTTTGTGTGTAAGGGTTGGATGTGTGAGTAGACAGTGCAAATAATCTCAAGTAGTCTCTAAGGTGCCAATAGTCTCTAAGGTGCAGGAAGGTGCAGGGACAGCTAGGGTTAGCTGTTCAGCTGTCTTATGGCCTGGTGGTAGAAGCTGTCTCGGAACCTGCTGGTCCGAGACCTGGTGCTCCAATACTGCTTGCCAGATGGCAACAGAGTGAACAGTCCGTGGCTCGGGTGACTGGAGTCCTTGACGATCTTTTGGGCCTTCCTCAGACACCGCCTGGTGTAGATGTCCTGGAGGGCAGGGTGCTCGCCCCCAGTGATGTAATGGCCATCCGCACTACCCTCTGTAGAGCCTTCCGGTGAAGGGCGGTGCAGGTGCCATACCAGGCGGTGACGCTGCCGATAAAGATGCTCTCAATTGTGCAGCTGTAGAACTTTTTGAGGGTCCGAGGGCCCATGCTGAAAATCGTCAGTCGCCTGAGGTTGAATAGGCGCTGTTGCGTCTTCACAACAGTGGTGTGATTGGACCATGTCAGGTCCTCTGTGATGTGCACGCCAAGGAACTTTAAGCTTTTGACACTCTACACTGCAGCCCCGTCGATGACAGTAGTCGAATGCAATGCAACACCCTATCAAATGACAGAAAGCATCTAAAAAGGTCTGTTTATATATACAGTATATACAAAACATTAAGAACACCTGCTCTTTCCATGACATAGACTGACCAGGTGAAAGCTATGATCCCTTATTGATGTCACTTCAATCAGTGTAGATGAAGGGGAGGAGACAGGTTAAAGAAGGATTGTTAAGCCTTGAGACAATTTAGACATGGATTGTGTATGTGTGCCATTCAGAGGGTGATTTTTTATTTATTTAGGGGCCTTTGAATGGGGCATGGTAGTAGGTGCCAGGCGCACCGGTTTGTGTCAAGAATTACAATGCTGCTGGGTTTTTCACACTCAACAGTTTCATTTTACATTACATTTTAGTCATTTAGCAGACGCTCTTATCCCGAGCGACTTACAGTTAGTGAGTGCATACATTTTTTCATACTGGCCCCCCATGGGAATCAAACCCACAACCCTGGCTTTGCAAACACCATGCTCTACCAACTGAGCTACACGGGGCCGTGTGTATCAAGAATGGTCCACCACCCAAAGGACATCCAGCCAACTTGACACAACTGTGGGAAGCATTGGAGTCAACATGGGCCAGCATCCCTGTGGAACGCTTTCGACACCTTGTAGAGTCCATTCCCCAACGAATTGAGGCTGTTCTGAGGGCAAAAGGGGGTGGTGCAACTCAATATTAGAAAGGATCTCGTCACTGTGTCTGTGCATTCAAATTGCCATCGATAAAATGCAATTGTGTTCTTTGTCTGTAGCTTATGCCTGCCCATCCCATAACCACACCGCCACCATGGGGCACTCTGTTCACAACATTGACACCAGCAAACCGCTCGCCCACACGACACCATACTGCCATCTGCCCGGTAAAGTTGAAATCGGGATTCATCCATGAAGAGCACACTTCTCCAGCGTGCCAGTGGCCATCGAAGGTGAGTATTTGTCCACTGTCAGTTACGACGCCGAACTGCTGTCAGGTCAAGACCCTGGTGGGGACAACGAGCATACAGATGAGCTTCCCTGAGACAGTTTCTGACAGATTATGCAGAAATTCTTCGGTTGTCCGGGTGGCTGGTCTCAGACGATCCCACAGGTGAAGAAGCCGGATGTGGATGTCCTGGTTACATGTGGTGTGCGGTTGTGAGGCCGGTTGGACATACTGCCAAATTCTCTAAAATGTCATTGGAGTCGACTTATGGTAGAGAAATTAACATTCAATTATCTGGCAACAGCTCCTTCAAAACTTGAGACATATGTGGCAAACTGCATATTTTAGAGTGCCCTTTTATTATCCCCAGCACAAGGTGCACCTGTGTAATGATCATGCTGTTTAATCAGCTTCTTGATATGCCACACCTGTCAGGTGGATGGATTATCTTGGCAAAGGAGAAATGCTCACTAACAGGAATGTAAACAAGTGCTCAGCATCTGTGGGAACTCCTTCAAGACTGTTGGAAAAGCATTCCTCATGAAGCTGGTTGAGAGAATGCCAAGAGTGTGCAAATCTGTCATCAAGGCAAAGGGTGGCTACTTTAAAATAAATGTGGTTACTACATAATTCCATATGTGTTATTTCATAGTTTTGATGTCTTCACTATTATTCTACAATGTAGAAAATAGTAAAAATAAAGAAAAACCCTTGAATGAGTAGGTGTCCAAACTTTTGACTGGTAGTGTATATAAATATATATCCATATACCTGTATATATAACAATACTGTACTGCACACTGTAAATATACACACAGGGGTGGTAAAGCATTCAAGTTACTATAGGTGTCGTCTCTACTTCGTTGTGCGTGGCAACTTCAACCAGGATCAGTTGCAAAATTTTTTTTTGTTATTTATATTGTTCCATGTCCCTTTAAGAATGCTATCCATGTCAAGCATGCTCTTAAAAGTGCACAGGGCTTAACAACAGAGCTGGCCATTGGGGAAAGCTGAGCCTAAAGAATGCTTCTCTGGCATTCATTAACTAACGAGAGCCCTCATTCCCTCTCTTCATCTGGAAGGAAGGAATGAACGTGTGAAGAGAAGACGAGAGGTAGAGTGAGGGAAAGAGGAAAAATAAGACGTCAAACAAAACTCGCTAAAATAGTTTTGCGTCAACATCCAAATTATTCTCCGAAATATGTTTTTTTCCAGGAAAAATGGCAACAAAGTAACAGGAGTTATATATTAGAATATTTTATTGCTTTATGAAATGTTGTTTGAATTCAAATTCACAACCTTCATATTGTTAGGAGTTCACAGAAATCAACGCTTTTGTCTGTTGTTGGACAGCTGGACATAACCATGATTGTCAGCACATAACTTACAACACACAAAACTCTTTGGCATCCTGTTCATAGCACTACATATCTAAAATAATTATACAAACATCTGTATAAAATATATTAACCTGTTAGTTCAGAATTAGGCTCACAGTAAACAAAAACCAAATGGTGTAGTTTGCAGCTTAATCCCTATGATGAATCTGACCAGCGGATTCACCACATCAGAAAATACACACAAAGAAACATTTGGAAAATATATATACTTTTTTTAACTAATTGGTGAAAAGCAACTAAAAAACTAAACAAAATCTTCACCCTCCCCGGTTGAGAATGGTCGCTCGACCTCATATTTAGAAATCTGAAGAAGAAAAAAAAAGACTATACATTGCATACTGTATCACAACTTATATTTCTAAACCTGTAGAACCGGCTACTGAGGCTTAGGGAATATGGCAGGTGAAAATATGATCATTAAGAGTTTTTGGCATTTTTATTAAATTATGGAGATGGGGGAGTTTTGCCCAGCTCTGAAGAATTCCATGGCACAGGAATGTGGCCAGATTCACTCAACATTTCTGCACAGGGAGGGAACGGCGGTCGAAAGTCCCCAAAAGATAACCTTGTCTGTAGAATTTATCTGGAAAAGCTTGAGACTTTCAGTTAATATTTGGAAATGAAAAATGAAAAAACTGATCTGATTAAAAAAATAATATGAAGTTTCCGAACTTCAGGGATCATTGTACATGACAGTGCATGAGAAAGGTGTTGAGAATATGTGAAAAGCAGCAAACATAAATACTTTGGCATACACTGACAGGACAGTAGTACGTTGCCTGTTACAAAACTGCAATACTGTCCAAGTACCTAGAATGTTTCACATTTTGTCTCATAGACCCAGACCGCTAGCCTGCAGCCGCCTGGCTAAGAACGATAGATGAAGAGCACAAGTCCTTTTTCCACACGTTCTTCTCTCATTCTGCAACATTCTTGTCTTTTGTACGTTTTTCAGAAGAACTCTGACCATTGACGTAGTCAGTACTCTGCGCAGCTTCCGAGAGCTCACACCCCTTGAGTGAATCTCTTGTCAAAGATCAAAAGTGACTTCCTCAAATGAAGATTTCCACTGCCTCTGCCTCCAAGTCATCTAGGCCTCTCAATGTGTTCAAGGAGGAGGACTTTGGTTGTTGCGCAGCACCGTTGTCTGGAAAACAGAGAGAGGTCAAATGATTAGAGGAATGTGTGAGAAGATTTGAAACAGTGGAAAAATAAGCCACAGTTACAGTACATCATCTGTAACCAAAGAAACATGCTGATGGTTCCACAATGGGATGATCCATTCGGGTAAATGAGTGCAGTCAATACTCAGGGTTAAGTGTGACAACATAGCACATTCCGGCAGCCCACTGACGACCTCCGACCTACAGAGCCATCGACGATTGGCTGGTTCTATGGGGGTATGGTTGGTAAATCAATGACTGCTCTGGCACAGAGTGTGATGCAATTACAAAGAACGGTTTGGGTGTTTGGTTAACTGTGTGTGTGTGTGTGTGTGTGTGTGTGTGTGTGTGTGTGTGTGTGTCTGTGTGTGTGAGTGACCGACTACTCACCAATGCTGAGCTTAGAACCAGTGGTTGGATCCTTGGCCTTAGCTCCATCCTCTGATCCACAGCTCTGGCTCTGGCTGGGGTGAGCTGGGGAGGAGCACCGAAGAGGAGAGACAGCAGTCTGGTCATCTGACAGACTCTTACCTACTACACAGAGCATGATAAATATCAACCACTGTCTGGCACACATTTCATTGATAAACAGGTGCTCTAATTCTACCCTCAATCCACTTCAATGCCATCAAAATTATCTTTGACAATAACTCCCTAGTTCATATTCCGATTAGATTGCATGTATGTAGAGAACAACAGTGGTCCCTGAACAGAGCCCTGAGGGACCCCTCAAGTAATAGTTAAAAAGTTGTTAAAAGGTTTTTAGTCTCTGACCCTATCGTGACTCGTCCTTACCTTTGCTTATGCTGGCACACTTCGCCGTGCTAATTGAAGAAGTGGACGTGGCGGCGCGCAGACAAAACCCACCCTTCTCGACCTGGTCCTGGTGCAAACGCTGGTGGAGTACCTTAATGACAGCATCTTTCTCCAGGATATGGGCGTAGAGAGCACGGATCCTATGTACAGGAGAAATATGGAGTCAGATTAGACAAATGGTGGCTCTCTGAGCATTGCTATCTGATACAACAAAGTAGATTAGACTTATTAGATGCATCCAAAGTGGCATAACAGCAACAATACTATAAATGATTAACACATTCTAAGAAAAATGCTCCATCTTCATACCAGTTTTCCATCTCCTGGTTTCGGTAGTCAGCTACAGGCAGGTCCTCGTTGAAGCTGTTGTTAGAAGAGTGACAGGGGGAATGGTTGATGATGGTTGTGTCTCTGGTAGGGAGAAAATAAATTCCTTTAGGAACTGGATGCAGGTAAAAATTGGAAGTATAATAAATGTATTCAGCCTAGATGTTTTGGAAATGTTTTCTCTTGTATGTGCATACAGAACACAACCCTTGAACCATCTATCCCCTAACGTTTAACCTCTGACCCTCACCTCTGAGCGGCGGCGGTGGCGGCCACGTCCATGGCAAACTGCCTCATGGTGCTCTCCTCCAAGTACTTCTGCTCCCAGCGCACCATGTCCGCCTCCAGGGCTAGGATACGCTCCTCTCTCTCCCTCAGACGCTCGTGCAGCGAGCCCACCGTCACGCCCGGCGGGTGAGACTGCTTCTGCTGCGCCCTCAGGCTCTTCAGCTCGTGCTCTAGGCGTGTCCGCAACCTCATCTCCAGGCCCTCGCGCTTCTCACAGGTGGCCTGCAGCTGAGCCAGGGCGCTCTGCAGCCGCTCCACCTTCTCCACGTAGGCCCGCTTCCGCCGCAGCTCCTCCTCCAGCTGCCGGCCCTTGCACCGCTGGGCCTCTAGGGCCTCCTCGAGCTGCTCCGCCCTCAGGCCCTGCTCCTCGGCGAAGTTGCGGAGCCTCTGGAGTTCGCGCTCAGCACGCTCACGCTCAAACTGCTGCTCCTCGTCTGATGGGAGGAAAGAAAGAGGAGAAGAGAAGGAGGAAAGGAAAGTTAGATATGGTATAGCCACAAAGCTACAAACTGTACAACATTCAAACATTGGATAAATTGACAAGATGCATCAGTGAAAAGCTAGTGTTGTGTACTGGGCTGGACACAAGACATGAAATCCAGTCTAAGGCCACATGAAGCTATTTCGAAGGTGAAAATGAGAGCTTGGACTAAGTCTTAAGCCATCACACCACCATCGCTCTAAACCAGCTAATATGTCCCAGTATTCAGCCATCACGGCCGATGGTCTTCATTTGCCCAAGCACTCGTGGAATGTCAAGGGGTAGAAAGAGGAGGGGCAGCTCCTATCCCTTTGACCCACTTAACAAGGAACATTCCTCCAACCAAGGCTGTACACCTCCAACCCTATCTCTCATCTGGCCCTGGGAAAGGCCCACTGCTTAAATAGACAATGTAAATCAAACCAACAACCTCAGGAACCTGATGTTAGTTCAACAGTTCTCATTTATAGCTCCCTTTCCTTCCTCCTTCTTCGAGCTGGGTTGCGTTTACTGTTGAGGCGTTCTCACCAAATAAGCGGAGGTTATGCAATGGAAATTTTTGCATACAGGATGTAGCTTAGCTACAGAGTGGCCCTGTGCTATGCTCCAATCCTGTGAGGAATGCGCAACATGGCTGAAGTGGGTCTAAGACTTGGAGTGGTGGGAAAGGAGACGGGAAGGATGACACACTTACTTTGCTCGAGCAGTTTGGTCATGATGTGTTGGTTGTGGTCAGCAGCTTCCACTTCTTTGGCAGCGTGTGTTCTGGCATTTTCCAAGCTTTCTGTAACGCAAATATTTAGAGTTAACAAACTGGAAGCATTTCTCAACTGCTATACACTAAAACTGATTTGGGAAAAAGTTTCCCTGCCACCAGTCCTAGTCTTTAGAAACCATTATAATCTTCAAAAATGGCTCTGGACCAAAGTGCTAGCCAACCTGAGGTTTTCTGGTATTTGTAGTCCTTACCTCTAAGGTCCCTGTTGAAGTCCTGCAGCCTCCTGATCTCGGCCACCAGTCTGCTCCTCAGGGTCTGCTCCAGGCTCTCCCTCTTACTGCTTCCCTGCATCAGAGTCTCATAGGCCTCTGAGATCCTCTGGATCTCCTGCTCCAACTGAATGGACAGAGAGAAGCAAGGGGGGGGGGGGGGACATTCTTGGTCAGCCATCTTGTTTGTTTGTTTAATATCTTTATGCGTGCTGGAGATGGGGGGGGATGTTGGTTCAGGCATAACACATCTATATGTGCAGTACAGCACATAAACATGTGGGCACATATATAAACATAAATATGGGCATATATACATAAATATACCTGGGAGCACATTCCGTACATGTGGGCAAATAGCCTACATACTGTGTATATACAGTATGCACTACATGCCTATAATCCAGAGGAATTTGAGCTAACACCACTCCCTGTGTGTGAGTGGTTTATATCTGCATTCCTGGGAGCTAACAGCCATGGTTCCAGGTGTGGGTAGTTCACGCACAGGCACACACACACACACACACACAGAGAGAGAGAGGTATGGGCGGGTTGTCATTGTGGGCAAGGTGTGCATGCCTGTCCTGTGGAAATAGAAACAGGCAGAGAAGTAGAAACGCCCACCATTACAGCAGCCACTAAGGCATGTTTACTCAGGGCTGCGGCCCAGCGGTCAGGGGAAATTTTCCAATCCAGTAATTATCATTCTTTAAGGCTGAGGGAACGCAAGAAGTGGGGTGACGTAACTCCACAGAAGAGCAACAAAGTCTTGCTACAGTATGCATTTACCATAGATATAGGAAGATGGATATAACCCATTTTAGAATAGACATTGCCATCGAGGGGTTCCACCATCTTAAAGACGAGTCCTCCATCTATCTCTATGGCATCTACCAAGATAAATGTGTGAAGTCTGTCAGTTAGTGTTGTTGCCACTATCTTGATTTATAAGAGGCAATAACATACTCAAGTAGTGATGGGGAAGAAATAGATACAGTTACATATCGCAATATTATTTTAATAATAATAATAATAATAAATATTATTATTTATTATTTTTGCGCTAGTTGGCTGTACCTGCACCAAAACGCCTGTATTTTTCCTTTATAGCTTGTTCTCGATCTTCTTTTTAAATCAGGAGCCAATTTGTTCCCAGCACTTTTATTTCCCTGACTCATCAAAACTTGTTTTCTCATGTTCTCTCGTCTCTTTGCAGCGGACATATAATGAGCAATATGTTGGGAACATCGAATATCGTGAGGTCGCTGGCAATTCCCTGCCCTATACACAAGGTGGGGAAGGATATTTATATCAGAATAATCTAGAATATGTTGAGCTGGGCAATAAAAAGGGTTGCTGTACTTCAATCAAATCAACATCAAAGAGAGAAGAAAACAAAGGTGTTCAAGTGAAAATGAAAGAGAGAGGAGGATGAAAGTAAAAAAGAGAGGAAGATGGATGAAAGTGAAAATGCAGTGGGATGAAAGTACAAAAGAGGCCTTTCAGTTTCAACACACAGTAGTCCTGCCTCCTGCCATGGCCAACAGAATATCTGTCTCTCTCTCTGGTCACTCTGAGCATGTCATCTGTGCCAGGGGTCACAACCCTATCGACTGCTGTCTGACATGCCCTGGATAGGACCCAAAAAAATATATGGCTAAAGGGAACACACATACGACCCCCCGCCTGCAGCACAATGCAGGGAGTGTGGACACAGTAGCAGCCTCTGGCCTCTATGGGTTCTCTATTTGCAGCCAATGGTAGCAGCTGTTGTACAGATGGGGGAGTGTGTCTGAGGTGGCTGTACACAAGCTATCTGCTACTTGTGTTTCCCTCCATTCCCTTCATTAAGCAACACATGTTGCAGACTACAGTACTTTGCTATTCAGTGTGGGCATGCCTACTTCAGAAGTTACACGTGTTGTATGTAACTCAAAGTTGTGCATTCATCATGCATTGATGTCAATGGGAGATTTGCCCAAAGTTGAACATGATTTGTTTCTCCAATATAATATCAGTCCTTCATGCATATAACAGCACAAACTAATCCAATGTCATGTCGCCATCTTAGAGAGGGACTGAAAGGAGAATATTCCCACCATTTAGTACGCTTCAATTAAAATGTGTGATTCTCACCTTCTGGATGCGGCAGGCCTTCTCTCGGTGGCCCTCCAGCTCTTGCCTCAGCCTCTCGTTCTCCAGTATCAGCAGTTCCATCTGCCTGGGCTCCTCCACGACACAAGGGGGCCGACTGGTGAACATGCTGTAGCAGGTCTCCGTTTGCTGCTGAGCTGGGGCCGCAAACCTGTGAAGAAGGACGTGCGTTGTTGAATTGAGTTCACTAGATATCCCAAGTTTTACAATCACTACCGTCTTCCCATGAGTGTGACTAGCTAGCAATAGTCCCTTAGCTCACAGAACTGTGGTTACGTGAGCAATCTTTGTTCGTTAAGGTTACTACAAGCTTCACTCCGCTGATCTACGTGCGTCCGTGCATGTGGGTGGAGTGGGATTTGTTTGAGTAGCTGACACCTTTTGGTAACATGATATTCTTGCCGGTCCCACTCCCATTCACAAGGGGGCGATTCAACATTTTTTATTTTTTTATTTTCATTTTGTGAATGCAAGGAAGTCGCCTTCCCTTGCTAGTAGTCGATAGCTGGCAGCCTGGCTAAAAACATAGCAAGCTAGCTAGCCTTTTCAGCTTCCCACATCTCCATGTAAAAAAATATGCCCTGGCAAGTATTCTTATAAAACATTATCCCAGGTTGATATGCTGCTTTTGCATTCATTCCCACATCAGCTAAAAATAGAATGTCATGTTTTGGTCACAGAGAAAAAAGCACATGGCTAGCCAGTTGGCTACAGCAGGTTCTACATTTACATTTTAGTCATTTAGCAGACACTCTTATCCAGAGCGACTTACAGTTAGTGAGTACATTCATAATTTTTTTCATACTAGCCCCCCGTGGGAATCGAACCCAAAACCCTGGCGTTGTAAACGCCATGCTCTACCAACTGAGCTACATCCCTGCCGGCCATTCTAGTAGCACAGCTAGCACTGCGATGCAGTGCCTTAGACCACTGCGCCACTAGGGAGGTTGCAATTACAATAGCCTGTAATTACTAGTTATTACTTCTAAACAAAATACCTTTTTGGGTGGATTCTTGTTGTTTGGTTTACTGTTTGAACAGTCGCTGAGATTATATTTGGTTATCAATGCAAAATAGGCTACTTTGATGAATAGCCTATATAGAATATAAATCAAAGAACCAAGCGACAACACTGCCCCCACGGCTGCGGAAGAAATTATACACCGTGCATCATTTTCAGGTAGTAAAAAAGTATGTTGAATGCCGGAGCGTATTACAAGAAGCCGCCCCTTTTGTGACAAAAAACGACATTGCAACACTCTGAATTTGGCATCCCAGGTACTACAACTATCTTATCTTATAATGAACACATCAACTCCACCCTAGGTAGGTTGACATGTAGTGTTTCAGAAATGCGATTGGAATTCCAACCTACGCCTGTAATGATTCATAAAGCATACTAGGGGGTAAGGAATGCAGGACACATAATGACACTTGGAATCCATTATGCGAGCGGCTACGCCCACAGAAATTACCACACTATTAAATGTGTGATCGCTGTTGATTCATGGCAAAGACAATGGGAACACACCAACAGTGGGAACACCTTTGCATGATCTCACTGTATGGCCAACACACACACATACGGTTGTGCTTTGTTGTAATGCCTTAGTACCTGTGATGCTGGGTCTGGATTGGCTGGGGCATGTCCCTGTACACACACTGGGGCTCTTGGGCGTGGATGGGCATATATCCTTGGGACATGATGGGAACAGATGAGTAATCTGGGTGCGGGCTGCATTTGTCCTGGAGGCCTTGTAGGGGGGCATAGTAACCCAGCTCTGGGTAGCTATGTGAGGAGTTCTTGACCGCCTCAGACTTCGCCATGGCACCATTCCTCTCCAGAGACAGCTGCAGTAGATGCTCACTCAGCGATCGCATGTGCCCTCGCTTCAACTCAATCAGCTCTTCATCCGTGGCACGGTAGCCCCCCTCACGCAGGAGGGTCCCCTCATGGAGCTGCTTGTGAAGGCCTGTGGCGGGTGCCCAATGCTGAGCCAGATACTGAGAGTGGGCTTTAGCCTGCTCGTAGGTGGGCAGCTCCTCGCCATGGAGCTGGTAAAGCTGGTAGCTACTCTCCGAGTGCTGGTAGTCTCCCTGGTGTTCCTGGCCCTGGGGCTCCTGGCGGGTTGACAGTTGGAGGAATGAGGAGTCTTCCTGGGTGAGGCTCTCCAGAGAGGAGCGGGGGCTTCCAACGGGGCCTTCTCCTGCTCCGCTCCCAGTCCCCCCACCAGGGGACCCACCGTTGCCTCCGCGCAGGGCCTGCTGCTGGATGGCCAGGAGGGTGCGTGCGTCTGTGGGGTTGCCGTAGCGTAGTTGTTCCTGGATGAGGCGGTGCAGGACCGTGCCAGACGGCTCTTCTGTGGATGCCATGATGGTTCTGTTGTTTGAAGCTAGTGATCAAGTGTAGATGGAATTTTTATAGATGGCTGTGAACCTGGAACAGGAAAAAAAAGGAATCAATAAGCATACTGGTCAAATATGAACTTACCAGTAGGCCTACACCTAAAACAGTATAGTTGATCATTGCTAATGTACAACATTTTCATGATCATGCAAATGTTTTGTGCTACTCCAAAACACTACTGTAGAATCCCGTAAAGCTAATATTCATGAATATCCCATACATTACTCAAGGTCTTGGTAGTCCAGGCAGAGTGAAGCAAAAATCAACAATCTATCAAGTAACTATGCACTACTTATGAGTGATGGCGTTCCATTCATTTCCTAATGGAAATTAATTATCCCTCTTAATTGTATAAGTATGCCCTCACTATTTCACTGTCAGACGTGATTTTTACGTAAACATGTTCCATTTTACATTAGTTAAATTGTCAACATTATGGATAAAATGTTTTGATGGTCGTGAAAAGTAACATTCATACAAGCCACATAGCGACAGAAGGGAAACGTGGTTGCTCGGTGGTACTACTGCAGTTAAAATGTGCGTCGAAATTCCATTCTCACGGAGGAACCAAGCGCATAGTTCTAGAAACAGTTTTAGGAACCAACGATGGAACAAACAATTAAGTAGCCTAATAAACTATAAACTATAATATAATATGTCTTGTGTTAACGCACAATAACCGACTGTTACAATTCAAGACTTACAAAGTTACAAAGTAGCTGAAAACAAACCATTCTTACCAGTTCACGCTGTCATCCCAGCAAAACGTTTTTAAAAACGTCAAACTTTAAAATAAGGTCAAAAGTAATGCACAATGTTTCGTTTAAATAGTTCTCATCCTTCCACCGCGAGATTGTGGTCTACTCTGGTCAGAACTTGCTCAACACTGAAATGGTTGTTGAGAGCGGAGCGATAATAAGTAACTGGGGACTGAGGGACTGAGGTCGGAATGCCAGGAATGTGAGAGCGCGAGTTCCCTCGGGGATCAAAAGCGTAACCCACACGGTTCCAATATGAGGGAGGAGGCCAAACTGAATAGCTGCAATTCTCCTCACAACCATGAGGATGGCAATAGTGTTCCTGATAATAAACTACAAATGGGAATTAATTATAGGCAAACCAGCAGGCAGGAGTTACCTAGGCCTAACATGTTAATAACATAAAGATGATATTAACTTGAATGCAGATAGTCCACATTTACATTTTCCTTACCTCTGTGACTGTCTGTCTACTACTGACATTTTGCAGATATTGATTGAGTGGATAGGAATAGCTTATAGACTCTATAGATCTGTTTTGACATTTCATTCAAGGTCAACTGTGCATGTAACCATGTCGTATCTCTGTTTGCACTGGGGGGAAAAAGAATGATTGCACAAGGATTGTTTTTGCAACTATCCAGTGTTTTTAGTCAATATGGCTCTAGGATTCAGCTAAAGAAAACGCCTATAGATTCAGGACTCTACGAAACTATGAACTATAATTATCTAGTGATGAGTGTAGCCATTGACTTGTATGTGAGATGAGCGTCTCAGCAGGACAGGACAGAGTTGAGGAGGGTATATAGGCAGCTGTCCACTGGAATCTGTGGCTTCAGTCTTCCCTGTGACCAGGACATAGAAAGGCGTTGTACCCAAAGCACTACATGATGCAGAGTGGTAGAGAATGTCAAACAGAAGCACCTGCTGGACTGTGGGTTCAAATCTCAAATATGTAGGCGCATAAGGCCTATGGAATGAGACACGAGGTTAGCATGCTTCAAGATTTAACATAATTTGCCTCCATAGCCCAATGAACCAAGAACACAATTTTAGTGGCATTTTGTGAGGCCACAAAGCTCCTAAACTTTTCAAAACGCATAATGAAGGCACAAAAAAGGCACAATAAACCTCCATCTTGGATGGTCTTCTCTGGAGAAATTAGCCATCCCCAAAGGGGGAACGCAGAGCTACACTGAGTGTACAAAAGATTAGGAACAGCTGCTCTTTCCATGAAAGACTGACCAGGTGAATCTAGATGAAATCTATGATCCCTTATTGATGTCAACTATTAAATCCACTTCAATCAGTGTAGATGAAGGGGAGGAGACAGGTTAAAGAACGATGTTTAAGCCTTGAGTCAATTGAGACATGCATTGCGTATGTGCGCCATTCAGAGGGTGAATGGGCAAGACAAAAGATGTAAGTGCCTTTGAACTTCAACGCTGCTGGGTTTTTCACACTCAACAGTTTCCCCTGTGTATCAAGAAAGGTCTACCACCCAAAGGACATCCAGCCAACTTGACACAACTGTGGGAAGCATTGGAGTCAACATGGGCCAGCATCCCTGTGGAACGCTTTCAAGACCTTGTAGTCCATGCCCCGACGAATTGAGGCTGTTCTGAGGGCAAAGCGGGGTGTAACTGATAATTAAGAAGGTGTTCCTAATGTTATGTACACTCAGTGTATATTACAGGCCATATTTGTGTCTTTGAAGACCAAAGGCCAGTTTAAGCTATTTATTACCTATGCACCCAACAGCTATGTAGACGGAATCTGCTTTTCAGACTAGCCCCCAAATTAGCGTAGGTGTTGCGTATAGCCCGAAGCTGTGTAATGGAGTAATTCAGAGTGATCTTTCTCTTTTCTTTACTGACCCTTTGCAAACCAAAGCTACTGGCCAGAAGCTTCAAATGACTACTGGAAAATAGAAACTTATAGTTAGCCAATTCCCATAGTTTTACCAACCTCTCTGCCGGTATGTAGAAGCTGGCCTCATGCACTTGTTTTTGGAAATGTTTGTCTGTTCTTTTTACCTCTCATGGATAAGGTGAAGATGGGGAGGGGGAAGCCGAACCAATAACTCAAGTCTCCAGTACATATTTTGAAGGATATGTTGATTGTTGGATGTAGCTTCTGATGTTAGAATCAGGGTCTTTGGAAGCAAAGGTCTTCTTGGCAACACATAAACAATTCCCAGGCAAACCTGATACATGCTTATTGTATTGGCATTTTCTTATTTGGAATAGTGAAAACAACTGCCACCTATGTCCTCACAGTGGCCTTCCTCAGGGCTACATTCAGTCGGAAAACAATGAGGAACGTTGCAGATAGAAATGTCAATAAATAGAACTGACATGATATGTAGCTGACACTACATAATATATTTATATCTGAACATTCCACAACGTTGTGCCCTGCTGAACGTGGCTCAGGGCACATTACTCACAGTTTAACCTACATTCAACATATAATAACACTACTGATAATGCATTTCCTCGGGTATATGTTCCCCTGGGATTCACTGTCCCTCTCCATCGCCCTCCCTAATTAAATCACACATTCCATACATGTTTTGGGTGGTGGTAAGCACAGGAGGTTGGTGGCACCTTAATTGGGGAGGACGGACTTGTGGTAATGGCTGGAGCGGAGTCAGTGGAATGGTATCAAATACATCAAACATGGTTTGATGCCATTCCATTCGCGCCGTTCCAGACGTTATTATAAGCTGTCCTCCTCTCAGCAGCCTCCACTGGTGGTAAGTATTCTTAAACATACTTTTTTTTTACGCAGCCAAGTTGTCTGGATGTCTAGACGGCCATTTGCAATGGGGCCAGGCGGTGGGTCAGCAAAGTATTAAAGGCATGTTTGAGTATCCCCTCGAATGTGGACAGTGGTGGATAGTGGAAGCCCCCTTTAACAGCGTGGCTTTTCATTTAACACCTCCCCACTACTTCCTCTTCCACCACCCCCCCCCCCCACTAACCCTCACCCCCCTTCATCTCCGTTGGTTAACTCCGAGCCTCTAGCCATTTGCCCCTATTGTGGTAGACTTCCTGTGAACTTCCAAAGGAATGCTGAGTGGAGTGGCCCTTTGAAATCATGGACATTGAAAGGAGCCATTCCTGGTGTTAGTGGATATTCAAAATCGCTGGCCATAAACATTCCTGCTGTCTGCAGAATCAGGCAGGCTTCAGTTGACCAAAGTTATAGCCCCATGGGTTATAGGTTATACTTTATGTGAGGATTGAGGAAGAATTCACGATATGTGAGAACAATGCCACAAGAAAGATGTGACTATTTTTCTATTTAGTCCTTATTCCTTCATGTTTTATATATTTTGAGTTTATTTACTTAGAAGTGCTTTAATTTGTATTTATTCCTATCGGGTGCTGTGTTTTGGTTTACTTCTTATTTACTTATTTGAGTGACTTCCTTGGAATTGGTTAACCCCTTTTGAGTGTTTGTCTTGGTGTGTGAATGAGGGGATTTGATTAACCCGGGCGCCCGGGTAGGCGTAGTTTGCACCGGATGAAAAGTGATTGCATTTGTTTTGGAACAGGACTGCCTCCCGGGCATGAGCCGGGTGCCCGATTCTGGCCGATGGCAAGGTTGGCTCAAAACAAAAGTGACTTAGGTTAAGCACGTGGAGTAATGAGTAGGAATCTGTGTTTTCACATGCAAAAGTGAATGCTTTTGATAAAAACGCTTCATCTGCCTTCCCAATGAAAACTAGTTTGAAAATTCAAACCTATATTTTATGGAAAAGAGATGTATGTTTCTGAACGATGCACCATGCTGCCTTGTTGACAACATGACCAAGCGGCACAGATTACTGTTTGAGTTTAGCAGGGCGTGCCTCCTTCACTGGCTTCATCCAGAATCACCCCAATGAGGGAATGAGTGTGTTAATTAGGGACCTAAGCCACGCCCCCACCCCTGAGGAGCTTTGGGGTTAATGAGCTGCCCCTGCACAAAGACAGCTCTCAGACAAAGTTTGTCAGATGGCTAAGAGAATGATATGGACAGTGGTGGTGCAGAGCAGTGGAACAGATGGCAGGCATCTATTCCAAGTACAGATTAAAGGAGGAGGGGAGGGGAGGGTGATAGGAAGAGACAGAAGAGAGGAGGCCATCTTTAAAAGGCTAAGGGTGGGACACAGCCGGTTGAAAACGACATTAAATGTGATAGGAACGCGTCCAACAGGA